TTAGGAGGAACTTTTTTTTTTTTTTTGTAGTTTGGGAATTAAATTATTTATTTGTTTTGCTTCATTTTCTGTTTGTTGTTTTTTTTCAGTCTGTAGTTTGGCAGTTAAATTATTTGTTTTGCTTTATTTTCTGTTATTTGTGGAATTTTTTTTTTAATCTTTAAAAATATTTTTTATTGAATTTTTGTGTATTTCATACAGAACATCTCAAACAGTCTTGATCATCTTTATATCCCTGCCCCCACTGGCACCCTCCCATAGCCATTTTCTGTTTGTTGTTTTTTTTCAGTCTGTAGTTTGGCAGTTAAATTATTTGTTTTGCTTTATTTTCTGTTATTTGTGGAATTTTTTTTTTAATCTTTAAAAATATTTTTTATTGAATTTTTGTGTATTTCATACAGAACATCTCAAACAGTCTTGATCATCTTTATATCCCTGCCCCCACTGGCACCCTCCCATAGCCCCCACACAAAACAAGGAACTCTTGATAGGCTGACTAGACCTCAGTAGATAGTCTTCACTGGGGAATGGCTGGAGACACTGATAATACAATGGGCCTTAACAGGGATGACAGAGGAAGACTTTTACATGGGCTTTCAAAGTATTTTATTTATTGTTCAGATGCTTATGACACCACAGAAGCCTAAGGATTTGTTAAATTATAGTTCCTAGAAAGGGGGCTAATAGTTAACAGAGGCCATAACTGCTGAAGGATGTCCACGTACCGAAGCACTGTGACCAGCTCCCATAATATTCTCATGTAGTCCTCAGAAGCACTCTTGAAACAACTGAACTGTGTCATCGTCATAGGCACTTTACAGATGGGGACACTAAGGCCAATAATAAATATGCAAAATTCCCTAGCCACCTAAGTAAAATATTTAAATCTTTAATTGGGAAAAAGAATACATACTGAGGAAAAGTAAGTTTATAATTTATTCATTAAGTTTATGATTTGTTTACCTACTAGTGAAATTTATAATTTCACTATAATCTACTGGATATTCAAATTTATTAAATGTAAGGCTTTAAATTTATACTTTATATTCTATTCATTGAAATTGTCAAATTGATGGGCTAATTTTCTTAGAAATGTCATAAGAATATTAGTACTCTTCTAAGCAGATGTTGCTTGTGACAACAGAACTAATCAGGTTGCATAAATAAACTTACCCATGCCACCTTCTTTAAAGATCCTTCATTTCCATCCTGCCTCATTTGATATATTTAACATCTAACATCACAGACTTTACACAAGTCACAACTATTCAGAAGCTCTTTAGTTAGGATTGTTTATAGTAGAATATTTTTCTGTTATTTTCAAACTTTATATCTAATGTGTACTTAGCTGTGTGTGAGTGGGGGCAAATTGTTTCCATATTTTTTTCTTTTGACTTTCCCCTTTTGTGGGAGTGGGGACTGAATTTCTAATAATACATAACAATGTGTGCCTTTTTACTTAGGCTGATATTATGGACATTAATGAAATATTTAAAGACTTGGGGATGATGATTCATGAACAAGGAGATGTGATTGGTAAGTCCCACTGATGCGGATTGTGAGGTAGCACCAAGCTCACCTCCAGAGTTTCCAGGCAAGGGCAGCTGCTCCCTTCTTGTCTCTTTGGTTACAATAAATATCATCCTTGCCATTGTCAAAAATAGACTGTTTTGGAATCTACTGGTTGAAATGACAAGCTTCATTTATTTTAGAAGCCCCATGTTTAATCTGGGCCTTCTGTTACTGAGACCATAGCAGGCCACATGTAACATTTGCTCTTTCTTCTAGGGCCTCTAGTTTCAGTCTTATCCCAGCTTAGTGCTCATCATGCTGAGGACTTCCAGGGAAATTATGATATTTGTAATTGTCTATGTTACCTTGTTTTATGAGAAATTGTTAGCTGTTTGTCTGATCATTCATTCTAACAACTACCAAATAGTTTTGGATAGATAATTTAGAGATTATTTAGATACTAGGGATTCTTTTAAAGAATTATTTTTCATTTTTGATTCATTTACTTTTATTTTATGTGTATGAGTGTTCTGCCTGAATATATATAAGTATACCTGTGCATGTAATAGTGCAGAGGTCAGAAGAGGGCCTAAAATACCCTGGAACTGGAGTTACAGACAATTGTTAACTGCCATGTGGATGCTGGGAACTGAACCCAGGTCCTCTGCAAGAGCAGCCAGTGCTCTTAACTGCTGAGTCACCTCTCCAGCCCCAAGAGCAGCCAGGGCTCTTCATGCATGTATGTGAGTGCACCTGTGTCGTCATGCAGTGCCTTGGAGGTCAGAAGAGGAGGTAGGATTCCTCTGGAACTGGAGTTAAGGATGGTTCGGAGCTGCCATGTGGATGCTGGCAATTGAACCCAGGTCCTCTGCAAGAGCAGCCAGTGCTCTTAACTGCTGAGTCGCCTCACCAGCCCCAAGAGCAGCCAGGGCTCTTCATGGATGTATGTGAGTGCACCTGTGTCGTCATGCAGTGCCTTGGAGGTCAGAAGAGGAGGTAGGATTCCTCTGGAACTGGAGTTAAGGATGGTTCGTAGCTGCCATGTGGATGCTGGGAATTGAACCCAGGTCCTCTGCAAGAGCAGTCAGTGCTCTTACTGCAGAGCCATCTCCCAAGAATTATTTTAAGTTACATAAAAATCATTGTAACTTAAATATACTAGTTCTTCAATTAAGATGTAATTATCAACATTGATCAGGATCCTTATTTTATTACTTTAAAACATGATGGGCATGAATATCTGAGCATATCCGAAAGTACACTTGGTATGTTTTCTGAAATTGTTTCAGTTGAAATACTTGTACCTTTAATTTAATATAATTATTATTTGCTCATTCTTACTCTTCACTGTATCCCAAATAGATCACAGGATAAAATATTTAAAGTATTCACTTATCTAACAAATGGTTATTGAGCACTGAAAATACTTAAGCATAAATCTAGGAATTGAGTGTTCACCTGACACTGAACAGTAGATGAGACCCCTGCCTTCTGGATCTTATCACTGGAGGACAGCTTTTAAAAGTAGCAAAGCAGTAACTAGTGGTGAGTGCTGTGGGGAAAATAAAGCCAGAGTAACCAAATGGAGCTCCGAGGACAGAGAACATGGCTGCTACACACAGAGGAAGATGCCTTCACAGCAGAAAGGAGCAAGTCAGAGGAAGTAATCCAGGCAGAGGGGACAGGTGGAGCAGAGCCCTGGAAGGGGAAGCATGGGTGCAGTTTTGGTTGGTAACAGTAACAAGAGGGTGAGGGTAATTGTGTCCAAGGACACACAGGTGGCATGTAGGCACCTGCACCACTGTAAGGCATTGTATCATTAATGGTGGATGGAGAGCTGCAGGAGACCTTGAGCAGAGAATTGTGATATGCTCTACTCCCTGGGCTTTAGGGTTAAAAGCACACGGCAAAGCAACCAGACCAAAAGTAAGAACATGTAGAAGGTTCCTCTAGTCATCCAAGTGAGCAATCAGCCCTGTGGGGTTAGATCAGGATAGCAGAGGTGCAGAGATATAATGGCGTTCTGGTTACTATAAATGTGGAGAGCTAGAAGGCTTGCCACATTTGTGTGAAGAGTTAATTCAAGAGTGATGCTAAAATTTTTGCCTTGGCCCTCTAGCGTGGTAGAGGTGCTATTTTCTGAGATGGAGAAACATAGTTGGAGCAGGTTTAGAGGGATTTGACTCATTAATTTCTGAATGTGCCAAATAAGTTTGATGGTAAGTAAGAGAGGAAGATTGTGGACTGAGGGCATTGAGTTACATGATAAGGAATGGAATGAAGTATACAGATGGGAGATTGACTCTAGCTAGACGCATAGGTGATTCATAACAATGCAGAGAGGTCAGAGCATAGAGCTCCTATATGTAATTTGGAGATAGAGCCATGGCATAGTACATATAGAAATGTCTTCTGCTTGTTTCTGTGATCTCAATGACCTATAAAATGGCTGAGTATAATACCTGAAGAGGCACACGAAGTTTGAGAAAAGAGGAGAAAGTGGTGTTTTCTGGAAATTGGGGAAATGAGAGAGGCTCCTATGGATTTGTGGCTTACAGTGGACCACGTTAGCCTGAGGTTATTCTTTGTAGCAGCATCCAGCTGTTTGACTACTTGTTGCCTCTTGTCATACAAGAATAGCTATAATAGAGGGTTAAGGGAGCTTATGGTGAATGCAAGACAGTGATTCTAGGAGATTGCCCATGGAGTGGAACTAGGTAAAGAGGGATCTGAGAACACAAAATGTGGGAGGAATAGTGTAGATGTGGTGGGACTGTTATTGCACAGGGGTGTTAGAAGAAATGGGCTATAAAGATGGCAGTGGTGACACAGAGTGAGACCCTTGTATTAAAGCTGCAAGTTTGGGATGTAGCCATAAATATTGGTAGCTAGGGTAAATAGGCAAAGTCCTTTAAAAAATAAGTAAGGGACCTGGAAAGATGGTTCGGTGGGTAAGAGCACTTGTGCAAGCATTAGGACCTGAATTTGGCCCCCTATGGAAAAAGAAGTTGGGCACAACCACACATGTGCCTATAACCCCAACACTGTGGAGTGTAGAGACTGGATTTCTGGGACTTGCTGGCTGCCAGCCTAGATTTGGTTCAGCAAGAGACCGTGTCTCAGAGGAATGAGGTAGAAAATGATAGAGCAGGACTCCAGATTCTTTGGCCTCCTCTGCATACACAGATGCTCATACTTGCATACACATGCAAACATAATCCCCACACACATCACACACACACAACACACTCATACATATACACCCCCCCTAAAGAAAAAGAAGTATGGTGGAGCTGGGGAATGGCTCAGTCAGTAAAGTAGCTTGCTCTATAAATATGAGGATCTGAGTTCAGATCCCCAGCACCCACATAAAAACTTTTGTGGTGACAGATACATGCCTATAATCCTATCCTTAATCCTAGAATTTGTGAGGTAGAAACAAAGATATCCCTACAGCTCATTGGCCAACTTGTCTTGCCAAAATGGTGAGCTCTAGGTTCACTGAGAGACCCTGTCTCAGAAAATCAAGTGGAGAGCAACTGTGAAAGATACTGGACATCAACCTCCGGTCTCCACACCCACACACACACGTACGTGTTCACACCATACACACACGTGCATGCAAGCACACGCATGTACATGCACCACACACATTATGGTCAAGTTATAGAGAGACCAGGGTATTAGAAGGTCAACCACTGAATAATGGAATCATCACTGCATCAAAGAGAAATGTTGCAAAGGGCTATCAGTGAGGTAAGGTCAACATATTCAAGAAATGAAAAAGCCATGAGATCTTTGAATGCCATCTACCAGGGGTGGTTGGAAGTTTGACAGCCTGACCTTTAAAACTGAGAGTTGATAAAGGAGGAAGAGACAAAAGTCTAGTGCTGTAAATCAACACCTATTCCACCTCCAGGTTAGAGCAGAGTATAAAGGAGGGCTGCCCATCCCCCTCCCCAGAAAGCTATATGGGCCCTGGGTGAGGATTACACCTCAGTGAGTTAGGTTGATGATGTCAACAGAATGAATAAATATGATCAGGTTCTTACCATAAAGTTGACCACAATACAATGTAGAGTAAGTAAAACATTATGTTTAAATGAATGATCTGAAGTGGATTGCATTTACAGAATCAACTACAAAGCCTATTAACACTGAAATCTAGTATGACAGTTTGATTAAATAAATGTACACAAAGGACTAGATTGTAGCATTTGGGCCCTTCTTTTGCTCCTGAGGAGATAATGTTCTTTGAGAAGTCAAGGTAGTGTTTCCTTCCTGTGATGATGAAACTTTTGGGTCCAGGAAGAAGAGAATTGACCTCCTACTCTGCACACTGGTCTTGAGATAGAGTGAGCTATGGAATTAGAAACTGACAGGCCCTTGTGCTGGCACTGACTTGGTATTTGCAAAATGACAGTGTCCAGGTAGAACTGCTGAAGATGGTCAAGGTCCTTCCATTCATTATTTGTGCATCGGTTTGTGTTTAATAGTTCTATGTGTATGTGTGCTTTATTTTAAAGACAGCATAGAAGCCAATGTAGAAAGTGCAGAAGTTCATGTTCAACAGGCAAACCAGCAGCTGTCCAGAGCAGCAGATTATCAGGTAATATTAACTGTAATGTAGAATTTTGACTTAGAAGTGTCTGTATAATAAGTTTGAAGTAGTTATATATAGTGACTTAAAAATTCCATGGAAGAAGTGTCAGGAATATGTCAGTCAATGTAAAATTGGTTTGGACATGTGTATTATCAGTTTGATCCATGAAGATAGGAATCCAGGGTCATGAAGTTTGTAAGCGGCAACTCCAGGTTTTACCCATGATGGTCTCTGATGTCATTGTCACAGTCTAACATAAAGACCCCATTTCTCGCTCATCCTTGTTGTCATTGGCACTCTAGACTAAAGTGGCAAAGTTCCTTGTACTGGAAAGTTCTCCTCAGGTTCTGTGGAAATCATGTCTGCTCGGAGTGTCATTAATCATTACATAGCATGGCACCATCTAGCAGAGTCTGCTCCAGAAAAATTTATTTCTTAAGTGAATCAAATTAGTATAAATTACATGTCAAATACTACACAAATGACTTTGAACTATTAATGACTCATACAATATGTAGACCTTTGTTCAATGAGGTAAGGGCAGACTGGCAATTTCTAAATACCATTGTTATCATATCATCTGATTTCTCAAAATTTCAGTTCTTTTGCTGTTCATAATTACCACTTTCTGAGAACTTGTAAGTTTTTCAGTATTATAACCTGCTTAGATATTTTCAGTTGCATTTTGCTTCTCTCTCTAAGCTGAACAGTGGCTTTCATTTTGCTGCCGTGTTTTCACTAGATAAGTCGCTGCACACTCTGTGCCGCACAGCACTGAGGCTCTGTGGTGCTGCTCTTTGCTTTCATCTCTAGGTAGCCTAAGACTATCATTTTTACAGAGTAGCTTTAATTCTCTAGACCTTCTTTTTTTTCTTTTTGGGGGTTGGGGGTGGCGGTACCAGGGATTTCACCCAGGGCTTCTACATACCAGGCAAATATTTTTACCACCAAGCAATATATTTCCAACATAGTTTCTTCTCTTTTAAGCCCACCCCCCCAACCCAGAGACACTACAGCAATTGTTAAAAATTGCTCCTTAAATTGCAACATTAATTCAAGAAGACGATTTTTAAAAATAGTATCACATGTGTTGTAAAGGTTTTTAAGAAGAAAAGTCACAGTCAAAAATAAGAGGGCATAAACTGCTATTGATATTACTCTTGAAAGGAAGCAAGTTATTTCTGCAGCTGTAGTTTCTCACGGAATCTCTCACTGTGTGTTCTTTTTGTATCTGCAGCGCAAATCCAGAAAAACCCTCTGCATCATCATTTTCATCCTCGTCATTGGAATTGTGATTATCTGTCTCATCATATGGGGATTGAAAGGCTGAGCCATGGAGAACAGACCATTGCACAACATTGTGTAAATTATGTAGCAGATTCCCATAATCGTGTTTTTATTGTTATTTTAAGGCTTATTGCTTAAAGGATGGCTTCCATATGTTGTTGTTTTTATTCGGGGGAGGGTGGTGCTTTTGGATCCCATCTGATATTTTCTAATTCTGAAGGTTTTTCTAAATATCATTAAGGTGTAACTTCCATGCTTTGCAGTTCAATGACTGCTGGGTTTTGCTCACAGTGTAAATGCCTTTCATTTGTAATTTATTTGTATTGTTTGACTTGTTTTTTAAATTACTTGACTTAAAGATATGCGTGCTCTGCCTATATCTGTGTCACGGGGTAACATGAACCTATATTTGTGCTATCTTATTTTTTAAAACCCTCAAATTTAATTTTTATTTGACCAGCAAATATTCTCAATGGCAAAAACTTAAGATACCTGTTTGTGGGACATTTTTATCCCCTGTGTTTCACAGCCGTGCAGCATGTCACTTTTATTTTTGGATTTTCTTTTTTGAGATTTGTCTTCTCTGAATAAAATGAATGGTTTCCTAGTATGGATCATGCACCTGATATGTATAAAAATTTGCTGTAGATGTGCCCAGTAAGAGTAATAAGGATAAATTGTTTTTAAGTAGGGTCTATATAAATCTGATGTGTGCTAGGAAAAGTGTAGTTACTATCATATTTCATGTAATTTGGAGGAAGAGTATAAAAACTCCATCCTAATATCTATTCAGTTTGAATGCTAAAGATTCCAGTTTCTCACCCCAACAAACATTCTCAGTAATATTTTCTAGTTTTGTGGGCCATTATTTACTTTTTCTTATATTCTATAGAATAATGCTTAGATGTGTTTCTTCGGGTCTAACTTAATTTTAGGAAGTAACTTTCCTACAGTTACAGATTTGGGGCTCAACACTTAGAATGTAGTGTTTTTGCCAAGTGTCATTTTGAACCATCCTTCATTAGAAAAGGAATTGGATGTTTGCCAGTGAATTCACTTGCCTTTTAAAATCAGTTTTAATAATCTGAATACTGTGAAGAGGATTCTTTAAGTTTATAATTTGTATTTTCTAATGTTCTTATGTAGCAGTTTGATAGTGAAGGCAATGTTTAATGTGTCAAGCTCTGAGACTTTAAATGGGAACAAGTAAAATATTAACTAAGTAAACTGTATCCTTGCCATCAGAATAAAGGTGATTTAGAAGGTATCTGGGTAGGTCTGATTCCTGAAGACTCTGTTGAACCCAGGCTTCCTTCACACAGCACTAGAGAAGGAGCCACAAGCACAGTTCTGGGCATTCTGTATCTTTCTACATAGCTGGTTAACATTTTTATTTCAAAGGGAGGTCTTGAATGGTTCTTTCATGTCAGTGGGACTTAATTGTTTTGTTTTGTTTCTGTAAAAGAGACAATAGAAAAAATTTTGCAAGTGATTGGAACTTTGAGATTTTCTGTTGACCAGAGTCACAGTGTTTTCATGATAAGGATGGTTAATCCAGGAAAAATTCATGCAATGCTACCCTGACGTCAGTGCAAGCCCACCAGGTTGCTCTAACATGGCCTTCTTCTACAGGTGTCCCTGAAGCAGAGGCTGTGTCATACAGTACATTAGCTTCTCGTGGCTTAATGAAAGTTCTAGGGGCATCCACAGAACAGCTTTGTAGAGCTCTCTCTGCTTGGTAAGATGTTCATTCTCCTGCAGGACAATTACTTCTGTTCACTTAATGGTAAATTCCCAATAACAACAGAGCTCATTGAAAAATTGGGCATGAAATATGTAATTTTATTTAAAATGTAGTAATTTATAAATTATTTTAGATGGGACATTGATCATTGATTTAAGACAAGAGCTTTAATTACTTGCATTCTTTTCTAATTTTTTTTTTTTTTTTTTTTTGTTTTTTTTTTTTTTTGTCTTTTTGAGACAGGGTCTCCCTATATCCCTATAGCCCTGCTGGCCTAGAACTCACTATGTAGAGCAGGCTGGCCTCAAACTCACAGAGATCCAGCTGCCTCTGTGTCCCAAGTGCTGGGATTAAAGGTGCGAGCCACCACGTCTGGCACAAAGTCCTTTTTTTAAAGTTCTTTTTAGTTTGCTTTTCCCAGTCCCCTCCCAAGTGCTGGGACTACAGGCATGTGCTACCACACCCGGCTTCTTTTCTCATTTTTAAATATACTTTTATTATTTACAAAATATTTTTATTGAGGTTTTGTGCATTTCATACAATAGATCTTAATCAAATTTAGACCCCCTCCCCTATCTACACCTTCCCACCACCCCCTACTGGATTTCATGCATTCTGTCATGTATCTTAAGTCTTATCTGGTCAAGCATTTATACCAATATGAACCATGGTACAAGCTCATCCACTGGAGTCAGCCTATCTAGAGTCTTTCCCTTAAAGGAGATCGACTTTCCCTCATCCAGCAGTAATCAGTTGCCAATCGCTCTTTGGCTATGTTTGGGACTGCTGCCCATTTCCCTCATTCTATGCTGGGTTTTTTATCTGAGTCGTCATGGGTCTTATGCATGCTGTCACCAATGTTGTTGCAGCTTCATATGAGCAAGTTCCCAGTGACCTGAAAGCCTCTGTTTGCTTATGTTCATGCACCAACCCTGGCTCTTAACAGTATTTCCACCACGCCCCCTTCTACAATGGTCCCTGAGCTATGGGTGGGTGAGATTTAATATAGAAGTCCTATTCAGTCTCTTCTTCTCTAAATCTTATCCAGTTGTGGCCTTCTGGGTACATCACACTTTGTTTACATTCTTTTAAAAAGCATTGACATGAAGGAAACTTTTGCACAGATATTTAAACACAAAAATATTTTTGATTGTAAAACTTTAAATGAGAAACAGAATAGCTAAAAGAAAAAAATTCCTGAGGATTCCCTCAAGGTCTGTTTTACAATTACCTTGAAATATTGTTTTTCTGTTTTTTTTTCTTTATTTTTGAGGATTTCATACATGTATACAATGAAATGCAATCATATATATACCTCCATTTCCCACTCTGATCTCTCTCATGTCCCCTTCCCAACTTCATGTCTTGTTTTTTAAAATTCTTTTATAACCCACTAAGTGCTGTTAGTGTTGCCCATATGTGCATAGGTGTGAGGCTATGCACTGGAGCCTGGGAAACCTACCAGTGGCCACATCCTCAAAGCAGAATGATTCTCCCTCACCCAACAAGCATCCACTGTCAATAGCTCCTTAGTAAGGAGTGGGGGCTGGAGATCACTTATCCTGTCTGTGCCAGAATTTTGGCTAGCTTGACCTTGTACATGTAGGCAACCCCAGCTGCTGTGAGCTCATGAGTGTGATAGATAACGCTATGTCCAGAAGACAGCATTTCACAACAGTCCTCCCCATGCTCTGCCTCCTACATCCTTTCTGCCTCTTTATAATAGAAGATAAATTTAGATGTTCTCATGACTAACGGGGTGTCTGAATCTGATTTAACCTGAAGGTTGTGTTTTGAATACCAATCTGTTTAAGCACATCTGTGATAAAAATAAAGTGACTGTAGGCTTTTAGTCCATGAAACAGGTCTATGGTTTCAGAAAAAAAAGAAAATCAAGTGTCATGTTGTACATCACTATGCTCAGAAGTCATCAGGTACCATAGAGTGAGATTAAGCAGCCTCTCGAATTGAATGACAGTGTAGCATTAAGCGTCTAGCCATTGCATTAGTTCATTAAGTATGATGAAGCTGTTATGATTTTACAGAATGATTTTTCTCTAAAAATGGGATCTTCTATTGTGGATAGGGGGACAAATGGAGCCCAGTGTAGAACATCAAGCTGTGGATGCAGTGTCTGGAGAGACCCCGAGTGTGCTTGAGGCCACAGCAGCATTTGCAGAGGAATCTGATAACAAACACCTTGAAGAGATTGCCACTGGGCCAGTCACGGGTTTTGTTAAAACTGGCCTGATTTTTCTTTTTTAATGAAAAGAGGTTGTGTTTTGAACACCAATCTGTTTAAACAAACCCGTGATGAAAATAAAGTGACTCCATAGGCTTTTCGTCTATGAAACAGGTATATGGTTTTAGAAAAAAAAAAGAAAATGCAGAATAGTTTTTGTGCTTGGTATAATTTCTGTTTCTTCATGTAGAGAAATGAAGGTTATGGTAAAAAATAAAACCTTTAGAGAGAAGAATCATTGTCCTTGTTAGCAGCAAGAATGATTCACAGGAATAACTTACTGTTTGTTTACTGAGAGTCAAAATAGAATGTCTTTCTTAGCTGTAGCCAGATTGTTGCAATATAAATTTTCAGAACAGCATGAAGCTTGTTGATTTAAGAGTTGCCACTAACTCTTTCAGTGTCAGTTCATTTAAATATAGTGAGAATTCTTCATTAGTGGTCTGCCTCTCCTTTTTTCTGTCTTCCAAATATCAGGGAAACTTCTCTCATTGGCCAACTCCAACGTAAAAGTGGAAAACAAAGGAGTTTCTTGGCGATGTCGTTTGTTCTCCCCAAGCTGCACAGGATGCTGGAGGGAGGCGGGATCAGGCCACAGTCTGCCTCGCACATTAATGAAGCACACACTGACAGAACACAAACCATATGAAGTGGAAAGACTCAGTTTTCCTTCCAAGTGAGGATTCTTGTATGAAAAACAAATTAGAAGCATCAATTGGTTCTAGTTGGCAAACAAGTCAATTTTCCCAACCACAACAGGATGTGTGTGCAAAGACAAGAGAACAGCATCTAGCACAGCTCCCTCCTTCCCGTCCTTGCTTTTCTTCTCTCCATCCCCATAGCAGGTACAGTAAATACTTGACTTAATTCAGCACTTACTGGGCCAGCTTTTTTGCCAGGCTTCTGCATGTCTGGGTATAGAGATTATGAATGAACCAAATGAATTTAATCCTTCCCACAGGGAGCTTGCATTTTGGCATTTGGTATATTAATAGCACTTGATGAGAGGCATGGAAGTGCATCTCAGTTGGTAGAGTGCTTGCCTAGCATGCACAAAGCCTTGGATTCAATCCTTAGCATATATAAACCCTGCATGGTGGTGCATGTTTGTAATCCTAACACTCCGGGAGGTGGAGGTAGTGCAATCAGAACTTCAAGGTCATCTGCCACTACATAATCAATTTAAGGTCAGCCTGGGCTACATTTTATATATTGGAAAAAAAAATGATAGGTGGGAAAGCAGGAGGCAAGAAAAAATAGGGAACATGTAAGGATGCATTTACCCTTGGGATCACTCAGCACTTAAACAATTGGCCACCACTCTAAGGACTGGTCTCTCCTGTTTATCTTATCTTCCATTTACCAAGTGACTGAATTTCATTTTATTTCCTCAATTAGAAGACTTCTAGAAATTAAGCTTTCTACAAAGAAACCTATCTGTATAAAAAGTCACAAAAATAATTGTTCTGATGGCTGTAGCTGGATTCAGGATATCTTGATATTGTCAGGTCTGATACTTGTTATACATTCACAGAAGTTACTGTTTCTAGTAGAGGGCAGAGAACTGCAAAGAAGAGAGGGAGTAACAGGCTACTGCCACAGCCCTTGTTTGCCTCATGGAACTTGAGGGTAAGACCCTGTTGCTGAAGACAGAACATACTTCAAACACAGGACTTGGACCATTGTACTTGGAACTGACCTGGAAGCTAATTCCCTGAAGACTATACTATGCAAACTGCTAAGGGAGAAAATCAGTCAATGGTTCAATTCCAGCTGTGAAGCCTAATAACCATAACAATGACTGGCACAGCAAACTATTTCTATTGATGTACTTTTATCTAGGGGCTAATCAGTAACTATCTAATTGGACTTAAATCCCACCCAATGAGAGGGAACTTGTGTGGTACTGTAACATAGCCAAATACACATGACTGGAGAGGTCATAGGTCCTAGAGAAAACCCTACATCTGTCACATCCCTAGACAAACAATTTCTTACCACATGGCAATATGTGTCCTTATATTTACAGACAAGTACACTTCTCACTACTCATCAAAGAAGCTTCTTTCTGCAACAGAAACTATTACAGAGTTCCACAACTGTTCAGAGAATTAGTGTCTGTGAGATGCCCAGCCCTAACTGACACATCTACAATGCAACCTCTATGCCTAAGGCTCATGGAACATAGAGGAAAAGGGAGTAGAGAGAATATTAACGCATCTCTCAACTCTCAAAAGTGAAGCTTCTTCACACAGCAAATGGTGATCAACACAAAAAGTTA